GCCCAGAACCTTCTTTCCCCAACAGAGGTCCCAAAGTGAAAAGCAGACCTATTTGGAAGTAAGGAGGGTAAAGTAAAACCGAACACAGCGCCGGCATCCCGGGCCTCGGCGGCGCGATGTCCCTAGATCTCCAGGGAGCACCGAACACACCTAGAGATGAGGGGAGGCCGGCCGTGGCTGGCGGGAGCGAGCGAGGTCCAGGCGAGAGGCCAATCCAGGCTGCTGTCTGTCCTCCATCGCCAGGGCACCAAGAGCAAGTCTGCTGTCTTTTCTGTGCTTGACAGCAAAAAGGGAGCAGACGACTTTAGCCTTGCCATTCGCACACACACACACACACACACACACACACACACACACACACACACACAGCACGTCCTCTGTATCCTTGTTGGCCGTAAGGAAGGAGGCATGCATGTTTTCCTATTTCAATGAGAACTGGTCCTCCAAATCTCCCCGCAAAGTGGACACACACACATTAGACACACGCACATATTAGGTGCACTTACACATCCTTGTTGGCAGTAAGGGAGGAGGCATATTTCAATGAGAGCTGGCTCTCCAATGCTGGAAAACAATGTTCCATTAATTTGCAGTCCTTAGTGGCACGGAGACATTCCAAGACAGTCAAGGAAGCATTGACAAATACCTACTTTGAACTCCATATCAAGATTTAGCCTTTTTTTTTTTTTTTTTTACTTTCGTATGTGCAAGCTTTGGGATGCTTGATTACTACCCAAGGATCAGTAGTTTCTCAACAAACGCTGTTTTGTATGTGATGGACATATGAGATTTCGAATTAAGTGGAGAAAAATTACTTGGTCTGAGACCAACTTTATCTGCTCTGAGCAAAACACTCGCATCAAGGCCTGGAAATCCTTTGCCTACAAGAGATTTATCCAGGCAAACCAAGGTTCTAGGTTTGTCTGTTGCCATTCTAAAGTTAGTGGGAACAGGTTGAGGCTCACCGATTCCTTATATTCACTCAAACACCTGCTTTACACCAGACTCTGTGCTAAATACAGATTGCGCCTTTTAACATCACTGGCAAGAAAGTGACACAGAAGTATAGTCAATTGGGAAGCACATGGGAAATGAATGTTGTCAGGAGGGGCCAGTCTCTCGAAAAGAACATTATGCTTAGAAAGGTGGAAGTGAGAGAAGGAGTGGAAGACCTGACAAGATGGGTTGACACATCACTGCAAGATTGTGAAGAATTAGGTAGGATTTCAGTCCATGTTACATGAGTCGTAGTTGGCACCTAGCAACAACAACACAACTTAGGGAATCGAGCTGGCAACAATGAAAGGTGATGGTAGGGTGCCCTAGTGGAGCTTGGCTGCTTCCTGAAAGGTTGGTGGTTTGAACCCACAAGCTGCTCTTCAGGAGACCAATCTGCTCCTGTAAGGATTTTTGCCTAGAAAGCCTATTTATTTGAGTCAAAATCAACTCGATGGCACTTGGCAACAACTGGGGTGATGGTCAGATAAGAGAAATGGAGTTTCTGAATTGGGTTTTAAAAGCTTCCCAAAAGTTGACAGAGTAGACAGTGTGAGGCAGGAAGTGTGAGAAAAGGCTAAACAATTTTAAAAAACAAACATACCTACCTCATTGCTATCAAGTTTTCCCTAAAGGCAGGCTCTGAGAGGACATTTGTAGGCTATGTTAAGGGTATGGTTGGTTCTCATGTTTATTCAACACCTTTAGGGAAAAGGGCAGGGTTATCCTTAGAGAAGGACTTGTTATGCGCCCCCAAGTCAGAACTCATAGCTGCTAATACAGTCGGTTTTCAGAGGCTATACATTTCATGGGAGGAGATTACCTGTTTTTCTCCAACCAAGCAGTTGGTGAATTTGGACCTCTGGCCTTTGGGTTGGCAGCACAATTCCGTACCACTAGACCACCAGAACTCCCATTGAAAAGGAAAAATTATGTAGATCAGTAGGTGCATGTAGGTGTCTTTTTGATAATCTAGTGAGTCATCACAGGCTATGCACTGAAGGTTTTCCTCTTTCACGACAGTGTGTCTCTGGTCAAGTCCTTAGTCATAAAGGAACATACCCTTTCAAGATGGCCACCCCCTATAAGTTCATCCAGGGATCACTCTCAAAGCACCTCACAGCTCTTAGCAGAAAGGTTGTTAAGAGGGAACACCCCAGGGAAAATATTTTGGTTCAGCATATCATGTAAAGAGGAAAAGCAAACCAGAAAATAAAATCTGTGTCTCAAAGTAAACATGGCAGTAATTCAGTTAGAAAAGGTCATCTTTGAATCAGGTCAGAAGGTCCCTTTATTACTTTAACAGAAAAGGAGTGACACCTAGCCACAGATTTCAAATCGGAGAGGAAATCAGTAACTGTCAAAGGATTTTAACTAAGGAAGTCTTCCTCTATGTTAAGAGGCCCAATGGCTCCAGCCTGTTAAGGAGCACCCCACCCCCCAATTGTCCTTCTAGACTAAAAGGATCCTTCTCGCTTTTTAAATATCATTAAAGAAATGTTAATTAATCTATTATTTACCTGCCTGTTGCAAGATGAGCAGAAGTTAGGTGAAAGTCTCTCAGGATAGCTGTGCTGAAAAGAACACATTTATTTCACTTATTCATAAAATGTTTTTCTTAGTTGATATGTGAAAAATTGAGGCTCAATGATTGCCCAGCAAAATCATACCCAGAAATATTAAGTAATATGTCAAACAATGAGTAATGTTTTTATTGTTATATAGTATGTCTGATAAGCATATTTAATATATTTATTGAACAACAATAACAATAAAAATATATTGAGAATTGTTCATCAGACATTCTGGACTGCATAGTTCATCTCCAAAATGTCAGAGTCAGTTAAGGGGAAGTTATCCACAAGTTGTCAAAGTGAAGTTAAAGAGGTCATTCATTACTCAATCATCTATCAGTTAACTTTTCAAGCATGCAAGCGAAGTCCACATTGCTTATTTCTGGTTTTAGACAATTTTGTTTCTTTCTCAAGCCTTTTTTATTTGACCTTCTGCCAAGAAGTGGGTCAACTTCAGAAGGCCTTGTTGGTTGGGACTACTGGAGAGTGGCCTAAAGCATGTAGGGGGCAGAGCTGTGTATCTGTGAATGTGTGTGTACGTGCATGTGTGTGAATATGCATTTGTATATGCATTGGGTGTGTGAGCTGATGGGATGGGAATCGTATTTACAAAAGATGAACCCTTTTAAAATCCTGTCCTTGAAGGTGTCAGCTTTTTTGGGTTGAGATGTGCAAAGTACTGACTGTTCCTTCTCTTTTTTTTTTTTTTTTTTTTTTGTTCCTTCTCTTGTAAATGCTCCACTCCTGCCGACCACTGACACTTCAGGACTAGCCCTTATTCTTATTTCTTTATGAGTCAAGCAAGAAAACAGAATAGTAGAAAGATCATGTGATTGGGTGTTAGGATAGCTGAGTTTTAGTCCTGGTCTAGCTGCCAAATAGCTATGTGCTTTTAGACAATTCCCTTGGCCTCTCTGTGCTTCCAGTGTTCACATCTATAAAACTAAGAAGATATACCTTACCTACCTCATACTATTGTTGTGAGATTCAAGCCTAATATGACAGCATCTTTGAATATGCTTTGAAAAGTATAGAATGTTAGACCAAATGCAAGATGTTATCAAGAGCATGATTCCACAGCAAGAGTTTCTTTAAACTAGATGGCACTTAATAACAATTCATAAATTTAATCCCTAGTCCCTCAAATCCTACTTCTCAAAAGATGATCCTTGGACCAATTGCAAATACATTACCAGGTAGCTGATTAAAAATGAGAAACTTGGGACTCAACCTTACTGAATCAGAGCCTGCACTTTACGAGATAAAACTATATAAACATTAAGTGAAGGTGGACAGACTAATGCTTGAAACTACTGGTTTCTCAGGCTCAGTGTGCTCTGTTAACACTTCTCATTGTCATAGAGTGATTCATAGCTGGCTCTCTAGCGTGTTTTGGAGAGGCTGTAAATCACTTGGTGTGGATATGAGTGTGTGCATGGGGGGTGGCAGGGTGAGGTTAGGGGAGACTTCCCCATCTTTCTCATTTTCTCTGGCAGAGCCTCTGGTAGATTTGAACCACCAGAGAGGCACCACCTTTTAGTAGTGCAGCTCCCTGTGGACTGTGTCGCCAGAACACCCTCGCCTAAGGATTACCTACGTGTAAACTCAGAAATTCTGATTCAGAAAGCTAAGAGGGTGGGCTTCAAAAATCTACATTTTAAATAACGATTCCAGGCCATTCTGTGGTCCACTTTGAGAAACATTTCACTGAGCCATCCAGAGCTCCATGATTTGTTAAGAATCTTAGAAACTCAGTTTTGGTTGTTGGGTGCCGCCAAGTTGAATATGACTCATAGCAACCCTTTATACAACAGATTGTTGTACACTATTCTGTGCCAACCTTACAATCTCTGACACATACGAACCTATTGCTGCAGTCACTGCACTGTGACAATCCAGCTGGTTGAGGGTTTTTCCTGTCCTTTGCCATCCTTCCACCTTTCTAAGCATGATGTCCATCTCCAGGGAGCAGCCTTTCCTAGCAACATGCTCAAAGTGAGACGAAGCTTCCCCATCTTTGCCGCCAAGGACCGCTCCAGCTGCACCCTCTCTAAGACATATCTGTTTGTTCTCTTGGCAGTCTATGGAATATTCAGTGCTCTTCTCCAACGCCACAGTTAAAGGCATCAGTTCTTCTTCTGTCAACCTTATTCATTATCCAACTCTCAGAGCTTGCTAAATGATTGAAAGTACCATCGTCATGATCAAGAGATATACTGAGCTGGGACGATCGGCAGTCAGGGTCTGCTCCAAATTATTGAGGAGCTATGACGTTAGAAACTCAGAGAACCTCCATATTTGCTACTACACCACCAAATTAAGGTCTCAAAGTCAAGCCCATGGGCATTGGGCGGGGAAGATGCTTCCTACTCTTCACTGTTTTATCAGTAAGCAGCCACGTAACCAATTTATGAGACTTTCTGGACACCACTGGGATGATTTTTGCTTTGACTCCCTGGGTTTTCTTGAAGGAATTAAAAATTAAGTGACTTTTTTTCAATTGCAATCATCTTAAGTATTTTGTTCACATGGAATAAAAATACACACACACACATATATATACATATACACACACCCCCCTTAATATTTGCTTATATATACACGTTACATTTAAGAAATCAGGGAATTCATAAAAGATAGAACCTTATTTTTAATTTTTTTTCACTTTACAAATCCAAATAGTATAATTGCAAAAACTGTATTAAAGGCATATTTGCAGGATGCTAATTAGTTGACATTGTTGACATGCTTCTCAATGGGCCTGACCTCTCAAAAGCTCTTTCACTTTGCCTAAAATTGGAGAACTAGTAACATGACTTTCAGTCTAAAATCACAAATCCGGCAATGTTTCTATTTTACAGAAAGACAGACACACCCAGGACCTGAGGGAATAACCACAGATTTCCTATTAAGACGTTGGTGGTGCTAGAATAGGAATTTCATTTCCATATCTTTAAACATCAGCTAAGTTTATGATTTCCTGCTCTTTGGTAGTGTTAGACATAGTACTGCTCTAGGCTATCTGCCTTAATACTTCCACACTTCACTGGATAACACCCTTCTCTCAGTTACTGATTTCTTAGTCTGGATTCACCTTAGTTGGGATTGGGTGCCCATGTTTAGTTTTGAGGGTGAGAGAGAATAGTGGCAGGTCAAAGGTGGTCTCAGGATAGGAAGCACATTGGATAAAAGTGAAAAACACCTGTCTTTTGTGTTTTCAGGAGATGCATTTAGAAGACGCCACCAGATTCTGTCCAAAGGAAGAGAGAGAAAGTGAACAAACATCCTTCAGCGATCAAAACCCCAGGCAAGACCAGAAAGGGGGCTTTCGCAGCTCCTTCCGCAAGCTCTTTAAAAAGAAGTGAGTAGCCCTTAGACAAGACAGCCTTGTAACTCATTTTCATTGAGGTTTTTAACAATAAGTCTCAAGTAGCCTGGTCTCACACAACTGCTTGGAGCTCAGTGCCTGAACCCAGTAGCCACAACTCCTGCTGGGTGAAGATGTTTTTCACTGTAATCTCACAGAGTTGAGGCAAACTCAGCTTCTCCTTTGCCTCTTCTGTCTTTTAGCCCTCCCCGCCTTTCTCGCTCCCCCAGTGTCCTGAGGGGAGTGAACCTAGGTGACCTAGCAGCTGAGCTGGTGACAATCAGATCCCTTTTAAGTTGGAAAGAATGAGATCTGGTGTTGCACTGGGTGTAGTAGGTACTCCAGTCCTAAAAGCACCTTTCCCCCCCGCCCCTCCACCTGGTGGAAGAGGATTCTGAGGGCACGTCAGCACTTCTGTGTATAAGGGCTTTGGTTGTCCTAAATGCTAGTTTATGTTTATGAGGACTTCTGTCAGTTATTTTTTTCCTTTATGATTTGGCCTCAGCCCTAGTTAATAATCACTAATGCCGTTTCCACACTCCATTAGAGGCAAAAATAAGGTTATTCCCTACTATGGACCTTTAAGACTCTTAAATCCTTGTTGTCTTGTGAAATAACACCCACTAGGCATTCTGACCAGCACTTAGAGCAGTGACGAAGTTCAGCATGAACTGTCAGAGCCAGTGGAGCACTTAGCCATAGGGGATTATCCAGCTAGTGTCCCTGAGAGGCTGCTGTCCCCAAACCTATTTCACTCTCCCTTAGAGAGATTTTCTGTTACTTAAGTTCTCCTGGTCCAGGAGGTTTTGCAGTCAGTTTTACACACAAGTATTCATATTTTCATGGATAGAAGAGGTAAACAAAGACATTATTGCTGTCTAACAACATAAGACCTGATATGTGACAAATTATTGAGAAATGATTTTATTCTTAATGGTAGAAGTCATTGGTTTGTTTAGTTTAATGGTCTTGTAAGAACTGAGGACAGGTCAGAAGTCAAGATTTTTGCTAGTTCTCTTTTCGGGAAGGTGGCACTGGTGAGATTTGTGGACCCCTGACTGTAGTTCCCTGTCCGTTGTCATTAGAAGACAAGAGAAAAAATGAAAGAACAATAGTCCTGATATTCCACCCAGTTTTCCATTTTGCTAAAATCCCAAAGCATGCTGGATCCTTACTCTTTTGAGGGGTTGAGGAATTAAGAATTATACCTCCTCCCTAGGATCATAGACTTAGATCTCTCCTAGCCAGTCTCCACTTACCTTCGACAAATTTGGCAGAGATGGAGAGTCCTAGAAGCAGACAATTCTTGAGTCTGACCTTAGGATGTTGGTCCCTAAGTCCTTCTAAGATACTCAGAACTTTGAAGGCTACTGCTTGAGTTTGTCTTTTTTTTTTTTTAAAAAAAAACAACCAAAAAAACCCTACTGCTAAGTGTTCCCAAATAGCTACTTTTTGGCCTGTTGTCTTTTGTAATAACTGGGTGTGGTATGTTGGAAAGCAATGAGGAATAGGATCACTCTTGGTTCCTTAGCAAATTCCCATTTATCTGAGAGATCTGGAAATGGTTTGCTGCTTACATGTGTCAGAGAATGAACTTGGGCTGGAGCACGGGGAAGAGGAAGAACTTGCTACCAGTTCAGCTGCCGGCTTGGCGTTGGCCGCCTCAGGAGGGAATGGGTTCTCTGTATTTAGGCAGAAGCTAAACGTCCCTTGTCAGCAAAGCTACAGAAAGCATTTGCTCTATATGGACAGTAACTCCAGAGACCTTTCTAGGGTCCTTTCTAAGGCTGAGACTTATTTGTAGTTTGACTTTGTGGGAGATCAATCTGAGTAATAACATCTTTACACATAAAACAAGGAATTACTGTGGTCCATAGCCCACTGCCATCCAATTGTTAGCAAGTCATAGCAGCCCCGTAGGACAGGGTAGAACAGCCCCATAGAATTTCCACTGCTACAGATCTTTCTGGAAGCAGATTGCCTTATCCTTCTCCCACGGAGTGGCTGTTGCGTTTGAACCACCTACCTTTGGTAAGCAGCTGAATGCTTTTGCCACGATGCCACCGGGGCTCCTAACACGGGCCTTAGGAGAGATGTCCTTTTAAAGACTCACCATGTAGAAGACTACAATTAATCTCCGACCACCCTGGGCTCCCCGAATTCATGCTGGCTAACTGCTTTCAGTTTTCTTCCTGCTTCCGGAGTTCGTCTTAGATGTAGGGTTGAATGGGCTCCATAAGTTTGGCCTTTCTCACAGATGACTTCCGCAGTTCCTCCTGCATCAGGCCTGCTTCCACAAAACAGCTTCTGTCATGTTATCTGAATGGAAGTTCAGGTGACACCTGGTGGCAGCCTTTAGATCTGGCTTTGGACATGAGCACCACCAGGTGATATCTGCTGAAGGCCTGGTGTTCAGTGTGCCACAGGAGGCGTGGCATAGAGTTAGACGTCCAGGACCATGGGACGTTCACACCGTTATGCTAAGGAAGAGAAGAAGGGCAGGGAGGCTCAAGCATAGAAAGACTTTGAACCCATGAACATTCTTCTTGTTTGTTTCATCATCCTTTCTTAGAATACATTGCTGTGTGAGAAAACTGTACAGGAATCATGGGTGACATGCTCTGGGGTTGGGCACATGGACAAGTACAGGGAAGATCTAGAAAGAGACACTCAGCCTGACTCCCACCATGTGCTGGGAGGTCAGACTCGCAGCAAGCCCTGTGATGCTTTTTAGTGACTAGTTCTAGGGCCTGGACTCACCCCTGGCCTCAAGTCCTAAATAGACCAGTGCTGTGTCACATATGGGGCTTACGGCTTGCCTCCCCCATGGCCCCCAGAGGCTCATTCCTGTCTACACTGACACACTTTTTGTATCCATAGGGGCTTGTTTGGCTGGTGGCCCCACACACCCAGAATGCTGCTTCGGGATGAAGCTAGGCATGGAGCCAGATGCAGCAGAAAACCTGAGAAAGGGTTCTCTTCCCTCTGAGGCTGTGAGGGCCGAATGCTCAGACCCACAAGGATTCAAAAGGGAAAGTCAAGCTGACATCATAAAAATAATTCCTGAAAAAGGCCCAAGATGTCTGTGGGGAAAGGCTGGCGTTCTGGTGGTTTCCATCTCAGGCACATTTGTCCTGGCTCGACACCGGGTCATGTGTCCCTGAAGGCTTCCCAGACCCTATCAGAATGACAGCTCGTCTGTCATAAGGTTTGAACATGTGAAAAGACTTTACATTTTTTAAATGAGGATTCTCAGAAGCCAGGGATAGATGAATGTAATAGGCTAATGATGGGCTGAGTTATTAACAGCCTGTCTTTGAGCAGTGTGGAAAGAAAACAAAATTTCTTTGGAAGGATCTTTTTGAAAGCTGTCCAAGGCTTAAACATTTAGTATCCTAAAGTCCAATGCAAATGGTACTTCCTTTGTCTATAGAAATCTTGCACTGTCATTAGTGAGTATTAAATTGTTAGGTCATTGGGGAGGAGCTCTGGACAGTTAGGGGGAGAGAATGCAGATGGTGCTTGCTTTATCTCGCACTCTCACTCTTAATTTGGGGGATGGAAGATAAAGTACTTGGCTTTCAGAAGGTTGCCTCTACTTCCTTGCCTGTTGTCCTTAATAGCACCTGACACGTCCACGCCTCAGAGTGTCTCTATTCAGTCATCACCCTCTCTTTAACAACACATCAAGGTAGCTCTTCATTTTCTTAATCCCACACAGAGGGAGGACTTGTACAGGGCACTGTGTGACTGGATGGCAGGGAGTTCCCGTGGTGTCCAGTCAGCTATTTTTGCCTATAGCCAGCCTTTGTCCTGGGACAGACCATGTAGTAGAAGCAGGACTGCTAGTGACTCCATTGAGAATTTTTTTTTCCATTGAGAATTTTATACTCCTTTACCCCTTCCCCCTCTCCCCAGCCTCCTTAAAGCCCTGTTCATGTCTCTAAACCCATTTCACCCACTTAGGGTTCTCTCTCATTTCCCACTTCATTGCTTTATATAACTTAAAAATTGAAAGAGATAGTAGAAGGGATAAACATTTTAGATTACTTATCGCTGACTACAAATGCTCTCAGAACAGTCACTAAAGGTGTTTAGTATATCCATTAGCTTCCATCATGCAAAAAAGAAATAAAAGGCAGACTTCCTGCATGGTAGGAAATAATAGTTCAAATGTCAGGTTAACCTCGCACACAGTATCTAGCACAAAGGGAACATTCATAGCATTCAGTACATACTCATAGGAATACTCATTTTCACTCTGTTGCTGACTAGGCTGACTGACTGACAGAATAGGTGTCCCTGCCTCTGCATGTGCATGTGACTGAGGGCCTTTCTGATTAGAAAGCCAGCCCTCCTTACAGCAGAGGCGTCGAGGGCTCTGTGTTCCTGCAGCCCCCCCAGGCTGTCTCAGGGCCTATTTGTAGTAGATCCCTTCTTGGATGACCTACCCACTTGCAATTTTCTCTTTTTCTGTCAATTGAGTGGAAGCAAAATTAGCAGCAGGACTGTTTGTTTTCCTTCTTCTTCATAAGTATGAGTGGCTTTGTGTCAGAGTGTACTGGCGACCACTGTCCTTCTAGTGTTCACTGAGTCTGTCCACAAAGCTTAAAAGAGAAAGGGAATAAAGACAAGCAAGCTGGCCTTTTCTCCTGGATTGTGCAGGTTATTTCTCATTTATTTATACATTACGGAAGCACCAGTAGTCATACCTTAGAAAGGGTTCGCATGATCAGGTAGCCATAAACTATGTAAGCATTATGAAGAGGTTGGTTAACATGACCATGGCAGAAAATGAATTTTCAGTCATGGCTAGAGTCAAATGCTGGACTTTGAAAAGGACTAGGAGTTTAGCTAGTAGTTCATTGACATGAAGAACTGCAGAGACATTCAGATGCTGGAGCCACAGAGAGGGCACAGTTTGTGAGAAGAGCAGTTAAAAAAAGAAAAGAAAAGAAAACAATTAAGCTGAGTTTGTGGAATTTAAAAACTAGACAGGGCGATTTTGGCATTTGTTTCAGAAATGGGAACGCAGCTGGTGAAGATTTCTGTGGTCCTTGGGGCTGGTGGTGACATCAAAGCTTTCCCATTTCCAGGTAAACACTGAAAAGCTGCATGTTGGAACAATCCAAGTGTGACGTGTTGGGTTTTGCAGAAATCAGGTGTAGCTAAGAGGGGAAACCTGAGTTGAAGTTTTGACTAATGTTTTTTCTGGGCAAGGGTCAAAATTGTCATGTGGGGGAATAATTTGGAAGAAAGTGCAGTCAGATTAAAATTTTCCTCTCTTCTCCCCATCTCTGTAAACCGTAGGCATGATAGAATGATAGGAATGACAGAAGACATGGGAAAAGAGGGAAGTGGTCCAACATATCTGTCTTTTTATCATTTGGGGCAAAGCTGTACTAAGGATGGTTTGAACTAGCGGCAAGTGGGATTTTGAGAGAAGGCCTAGAGTCCAGAGTTTCAGGGGGTAATCTCTGAAGAGGCAGAAGATATTCATCTCACCCAGATTTCCTCTGTACTGGGGCTGAGACACAAAGCAGTTTTTTCTTTTCTTTTCTTCATTGGGATCTAGTGGAAAAGTGCCCCCCACCTACCAGAAGTAGAAACCATGGTGGGCAACTGTGGTTTCACCTGAGACATTTAAATGTCAAAGTGAAAAGTTAAAAAAACCTAGTCAGTCATTATATTTCTGGACTGCAGGATTTTCATCTTTGTGTGCATCCTAGTCTTTGATTAATGTAAAGAGATATTTTAATTTTTCCCAATGAATTAAATAATGATTATTCATAACTATCTAGTAACAACATAGATTCATAGCGTCCTCATGATAAGAAAGACCGCGAGAGGTACTTACCCTTCTCTAATGGATGTGGGCCCAGACCTGACTCAGCTTTGGATGTGGGCCCAGACCTGACTCAGCTTTGGGATGTGGGGAACACCGACAGTTTGTGTAGGAGGTTTGACAGAGAACTCCATGTCTAGCATCACTTTCATAAATACACCCATGTCTTTTGATATCAGTTCTTAGTCCCTGGGCTGGTTTCACCCATTCTAGCTCGGAGTATAAGCTAGCCGAAGGGCCCCAGGCTAGCTTGTCAGAGGTTATCTCCAGAAAGCCTCCTCCCTGCAGGGACTCCTGACATGAACACAATGGAGAAGGTACAGAGCTGGAATGGATTGCCCAACCGGCTTAACCAAGATAAGGAAGAATGCACCCTCGGCTGGGGACGCAATTGGACTCTTGGTGGCTATTGATTGGGCTTGGTCTCCCAAGTGGTGGCTGGGATTATGATAGCCCCTCAATTTCATTCCTGTACTCATTTCTGCATTCTACCAAATGTAGCACGTATACGTGGTTGGCTTCAATAAATCTTTCCTTTAAAAATGAAAACAAGCAAACGCAAGAGTTTGTAATGTTAACACCCAGATTCAGTAAAAGGACCTTATAACCTTTGTTGAGAACAATGAATCCCATCCATTTTCATTTAAGAGCCTTTGGTATTTGTGAAGTAGTTACTTGGTTGGACTTAAACTAGGATCCCCCCCGCTTTGAGCTTTTATCCCCCTACTGCAATAGTATGACACAATATCTTACACAAATATACTAGGATAGTAGTCACAACTGCCCCCATAAAGCATTTACAGAGATATTGTTTATGTTCCCTGCAAATTGCCAAGACACATGCCTGTAGCTATGAAATCCAGGGGAGGTAAAAATTATTCCATGTCTAGGAAGGCAACTGTTTTACAAGTGAGAAACAATTTGGATAGATGAAATATTTTAAAACAATTAAAACCAAATCAACCTGTACTTTATCTGTGTGCTGAGATTTTAGGTCCAGTGGATCAGAATACAGGGAAAAAACTAATGAGAGTCCCTCAATGGATCCTTCACCTACCAAACAAGAATTCTTCAGAAATCGACTTGCTCTTGCAAATGACCTTGACCAAGGAACAGCTGTGTAAAACACAAAGTTGTACTGTCAAGTGGTAAGATGAGGATAAAAAGCTTGTATATATCTGTGCAGGAATATATCAATATATTTATACATATACATATATATATATATTGTATAAAATCCCTGAGGAGAACTAATATAAACATTCACATATGAAACTAAAACAACATTCAAGACATTGAAGAGGTGAAGACTAAGAGCGGTCTTTTTGAACGGCAACGCTTGGGAGAAGGGAAAGGAAGACTTTACACAGCGTCATGGCAAACTGCAGTTCATTTGGAGGAAAATAAACATTTATAAGAACAAAACCTTCCACCTTGAAGTCATTCCCCCACTACACTATTGAGCATGCTCATATTTAACCTGGATGTGATTTTTATGCTTTCTCAACCTGACAGTGCTTAACCAAGACTGTTTAGCTTAGTCATTCCTCCCTGTGTTCTTAGCGTAATACATATTCTGGTAGAGACCACTTCTGTCCTGTTTCCCAAGAACCTCAAAGAAATACCTAGCATTCCTTAACGAGAAGGCTCAATTAACAGGACTGCATTTTTACATGCTGCAAATATGAGTTGTAGAAAATGTTTTTTTCTTAAACCATATGAACATAAAGTTTGAACATCTGAGCTAAAGGTTCAAAGTTTAAAGACACATTGATCTGCAAACAGGAAGCGCACCATGAGAGTAGGAGTCATTTCACTCTTGTAGTTAGAGAAATAGAGAAAGAGGGGATTGAACTGGGGGCCGACGAAGTGGGTTTCCCTCCTTTGTGCAGTGCTGAGGAGGGGGAACCCCACAGTCTGTTGGACAGGACACTTGGGATTCAGAGACCTCAAGTGATCCTAAGTGTTACACACATTCATGACCCATTAGGCTGTGGGAACAAAGCACTGACTTAGTCACACTCTGCAAAATTACTTTCTTCAATACGGAAACATACCACCACCAGTGCTTTAATGGCTCACACGTAGTCAATGCTACAAACACTAGGTCTGAATGAAAACTCAGGGCTGCCTGTACCTGACTCTGTTTTCCAAACCCCCTACAGCTTTGATAAAGGAACTGCACTGCTTGGGGCCTGCCTGGCTGTAGGGTAGTAAACTGTGCTTTCATTCTCATGGATGGACAGCCAAGATGGTCACTGTATTTGACATGGCGCAAACATTATGGGGAAATGTAGATTTAAATGAGTTGTCTCTATTCAGATAGTAACGGATAATAAAGGCATTTGGCTACTGTTCATTCAAAAGCTTGGTTCTCAGCTGACTCCTTCAGGGGTTGTTCCTCTAGGAAAGTGCTATTAGATAAGATGCAGAATGTTTACTTTAAGTGTTTTAAATTTTTTTCTACTTTTCTGAGGACTAATTAGCAACTCATTCACAAGGATTTTGTGTCCAGACAAAGAGACTGAACATTTAACGAATCATTGGAACATTTTAAAAAAAATTACCAGTATTTAGGTTTTAAGTCAAGCTTTTTGTGCTGAAATTAATAAGCTTATAGGGAACACTGATGGGCCAGTGGCAAGAAGCTGTCCTGCAATTGCAAAGGCATGCAGTTCAAATCCACAGCTGCTCCTCAGGAGGAGGGCCGGCAGTCTCCTCCTGTGTGATTTACTGCCTCCGAAAACCTGCCAGAGGGTCAGTGATGGGTCGGTTTTGACTCGACATTAGACAACAACTTTTGAAATTAGATTTTCATTACCAAGCTAAAAAATTTGGGGACAGTGCTTTAAAGTGGAATGCCAAATTGTTGGACATGGAAAGTGAAATGAGAAGGCACAACTCCATGACAAAATGTGAAAATCCACAAAATTCCTAATAAAACAGATTATTATTATAATAACCAGTTACAAGGGAAATTTTAAAACAAAAATGCCGTACACCTCTTAAATTTTCTTTTTTCCAAATTTTCATTTTTTAAAATATTCTTTTAAAAATCTTGATGCCACATTGGTAGTACAACTCAATTGCACTTTATTAAATGAATCTACAAAATTAGTAAGTAAATCAGTGCTGTCATTCTCAAGGGATTCCCATCACCTAATATACCGATTGTTCTGGTAGCTTTCTCATTCCCTCAGCTGTCTGCTCCCATCTGTCCTACACACCTCTAGCACATTAGTACTGTTAGATACAGTGGGTTTCCTTAGTGTCCCAAAATGTAGCTTGGTGTGAGACCAACTCTTCAGATGTTCTTGTCTACTGTCAAATCCCAAACTCTTTACTTGACATTCACGGTTCTCTTTCTTCAGTATGACTCAGAGTTTTCTTTCTTGTTACTGTGTCCCATTTTGCAGGTCTGAATGAATTTATCTCCAAGTCATACGCCTTTCTGAGGTTCGCTCTTGCTTCCTGTCTTTTCTCTGACCTCCTTCCTTTCAGCTTACCTTCAAGATCCGGTTTAAGTCTCCTCTTCTTTCTGTGACCTCTGGTTTACATTTTGATTTGCCTTGTCTTCTCAAAAAGATTGTGAGTCTCTTTATATCTCTTGATGAGAACTCCCCACTGAACAGCTTAATAAATGGTTGATGCCCGTGTTAATGGTGGCACTATACTAGGTAAACGACTAGAGAAAGTAATTTTTGCTCATACTTGACAACTTCAGGCAACTTTTTTGCAGAGAAAAAGTCACAAGAGAAGTAAAATGCAGTAATCTTTAGAAGCAATTAAGGCCACAACTGTTACCTTTTTTTTTTTTCATACAGAAAGCGTTAGGAAGCTTCTCACCATTAAAAAAAGTTTGCTACTCTTTTCTGTATTGTTCGTGTTCATCTTTCTAAGTAGAAAGATGTATTTCTTCATCCATTATGTATTTCTTCATACATTATCAGGGAAGATGGGATCTTCCAATGCCAAATCACTGGGCAAACTTTCTGGATGTTGGGATTTGGAAAAGAATGCTGTTTAATGTTGTTGTTATGGGCCATCGAGTTGCTTGCGACCCATAGCAACCCTCTGTACAGCAGCTCTGAAGCCTGCCCTGTCCTGAGCCAGTCTCGCTGATTCCAACACACCAACCCCCGTCGTCCCAGTTGCATTAAGGATGAAGTCAGGGTAGAAAGAGTTTGGCAGCTGCTCCATCTGTGATTTCCAGCTCTCTGAAGAGACACCGCTGATATGGGAAATCGCAGATGTCTTCTGGAGTTTAGATGGATAAGCAGAAAGCAGCTATCAAACAGCAAAGCTGGATATTTCACTTAGGTTGAGGGTGTCGGCTGGTTCTTCGGAAGTCTTTTGGGACCTGTATACAAGTCCAAGAAAGGCTTGGACTGCCTTTCTGCCCCCAGAGTTGCAATGTAAGAGAACTGAGGATTTGTGGGCCATTCTTTTAAGGTTCTCCCCACTGGGATATTTCATGATATAACGGAGGGTTTAACTTAGCATCAGATAATTCGTCCTGTTGCAATTTAAGAGCCACGACTGCTTAGGTCAGTAAATTGGGTGAACTCTAAACTTTAGCACTCAGAGTTAATCCATAGATTGAATCTAGGACAGAGTAAAGAACTGCTTATAAGTCCTTAGGATCTAAGGAGCTCTGGTGGCACAGTGGTTAAGCACTCAGTTGCTGTAAAAAATGTTAGCAGATTGGACCTGTCTACCACTTAATGGGAGAAGGACATGGCACTTGGCTTCCAGAGATTACAGCCTCAGGTGACCGTAGGACTAAGAAAATCGCACATCAGAAGCCAAAATGAGTATTTTTGTTTTCTCAGATTTATCATTGTGATCTTTACTATCATATATAGTAAGATTTTTTAATTAAAAAATACATACACATGACAGTACTCTTTGTAAATTAACAAAATTTGGATATAGATTATAACCAATTATATTTATTTATAAAAATAATAAAATGAATATCCTACAGCTCTTTAACAAAATTAAATCTAGTTTTCAGACTAAAGTTCTCTTGAAATATCACTATTAATAACTTTGATCTTGAGTAAATACTTTCACTACAATTGGGATACTCCTTTGCTAAAACTTGACTCAAAGACTTGAATGTAGTCCTCTCGGGAGCAAAATATCCTAATATTTATAGATGCTTAGTATTTAGAGATGAGGCTCAGTGGAGGTGGGGGAAGCTAGGGAAAGAAGGGTGAGGTATAGTTCTCAAAGAGGGATAGGGCTCAGAAAAATAAGAAAAAGCTGAGAAAACTGGAGAGGACATATATATATATTTTATGGGGAAAAATCAGAAGTTGATGTGTGCTAATAGACATGAACTTTAAACATATAAAAGCTTGAAAGTATGTATTTTGGCAATGTTGAAAATTTCCTTTGAAGAAGTTCTTAGATGCTCACATAGTCAAAATTTTTATTCTCAAGCCAGCTTTGTTTTCTTTATGTTTAATGAATACTTTTTTTTTTGTTAGGTTATTTTTTACCTTTATTTTAAATATTTAAAAAAATTATACTGATTTACTTACAAAGTTTGAATACATTGTTTTTCACAAAAGATCCTTCCCATTTCCTTCACCTGCCCCCACCAATTTTGCGACCCTATGATTAATATCCCACACACACACATCCTCACCACTCTGCTTCCACCCTCGCCGTCCCCACTCGGATCCTCATACTGATTTCACAATAATGATTTTATATAGTAATGAATGTTTTTGTAAATCAGTTAACCTTTTCCGTGTCTACAGAATGAGGCATTTTTATTCCTTCTTCTTGCCCAGTGCTTTTCATTCTTAGCTGGAAAGTCAACATGTAGTTTCTTTCTGGTGTATATAAAGCTATTATTCATCTGAAGAAACTGGGATCTCCTCCAAGGGATGAACCCTCTGCTGTTTCGGTGGGTCTGCGGGATGTTTCCTGCCACACAGCCCTGGTTTGCATCCCTTCCCTGGTGCATCCCTTTCCCTTCATTTGGGGTAAACCCTTCAGCATACAAATGTGTTCTTTCTCTTCCATCTTTAAAACAGCTCCATCTGTCTTCTTTTGACCCTCCCAGTTAGGCCTCATTTGTTTCTTTTTTAGAAAAACTTGAAAGAGGTGT